GAGAACAGAATACTTTTTCATACAAGAACATGGTGCAACAGGCACATATCAGGAATATGCAATGATAGGTTTACATATTACGTTTGTAACAATTAGTGGGCATAGGAAGGTGCTCTGCTTTGAAAAGAAATGCACAAATACTTTGTGATGAGCACATTGCAGAAAATGGTGTTGAAGTGAGTGAATCCCTATTCCCTGCACTCACAAGATGTTATGGTGTACTGGTAAGTAGTGGTCGCTGTTTTCATTGCAGATTACTCACTTAATTCCAGTAGGAATCCTGGACTTTTCCCAACCCTTTTGTGACCCTTGAGATTCTGCTTTACCTTCGGACTTATGGGGTTGAGAGAATCCATGCCCCCCCTTAGTCCTCCATTGGCTTAATAAGGATATATTATACTTCTGAAAGGTACTCTTCTAGGGCCTCTTCTATGTCCTTAGTTTGCCTGAAATTTGGTAAGAAAACAAACTGCACAAAAACCACAAAAATTGTGTACCTTTTTACCGGTACAGTTATTATTATTATACAGGATTTATATAGCGCCAACAGTTTGCTCAGCGCTGTACAATATAACGGGAGACAATACAGTAACAATTCAGTTCAATACAAGAGGGATTTGAGGGCCTTGCTCCTTGGAGCTTACAATCTAGGAGGGAGGGGCTAGTGGTACAAAAGGTAGTAACTGTGGGGGATGGACTGGTTGGAAGAGTAGAAGATTCCATTATTAGCTGAGGGCAGGATAGGCTTCCCTGAAGAGAGAGGTTTTCAGAGATCGCTTAAAAGTGAGCAGAGTAGGTGATAGTCTGATAAATTGGGGTAGAGAGTTCCAGAGGATGGGGGAAGCTCTGGAGAAGTCCTGGAGACGAGCATGGGAGGAGGAGACAAGGGAGCTAGAGAGTAGGATACAGTTGCTGTCTTTTGCATTTCTGTGGTTTTTGGTTTGGCTGTTTTTTTTTTTTTTTTTTGTTTTTTCCCTCCAGGTTTCAGAAGATTCATACATTGTTTTCAGTAATCCAGCATGCAGAAGGGAATGACAATGCATGTGTGATGGTGCATAAATTGCAGTCACCCATAGACACCTGATATTGGTCTACTGTGATTAAAGAAAGGTTAATCACTGGCCTTGTATATTTAATATGTCATGGGATTTTTTTTCCTGAATGGTGAAAAAACAATGTTTTGAAAACTTCTGATTTCTTATAATTATGTAACCCGAGTCAATTTTACTACAATGTGTGAGAATTAATCCTCTTTCTTGTGCCTGGTCCCTGCCACGGAGTCCATTTCACAAGCTTTGTGATGCTGACTGCTGCTGACATTTATATTCAGAGAGCCGGGTATTAAGAAAAGCCTGTTAACCTCTTAAGGTGATTTGCAGTGGATTTCTGCACAAATTGATCTTCTTTACAAACGAAGGCAATGCAAAATCCGCCCAAGTGAAGTCTCTAGACTTGCGGTTTTTGTGGTGAAAATTCAATTTGAATATATTCCTAGATATCGAAGTGTATTAGTAAGAAGAAAGAATTGATAAGATGCAGAAATGATGTGGCTGTGCATATTGGTGAAGGGGAACAGGGTGGCAAAAAAAACAAACCTTAAAGCAGATCTTAACCCTCTTTAAGAAGTACATTCACACCTGTTCAATTGCTTGGTAACACAAATTACTAATCGGCCAATCACTTGGTAGCAACTCAGTGCATTTAGGCATCTAAACGTGGTGAAGATGACTTGCTGACGTTCAAACTAAGCATCAGAATGGGGAAGAAAGGGGATTTAAGTGACTTTAAACGTGGTATGATTGTTGGTTCCAAACAAGCTGGTCTGAGTATTTCAGAAACTGCTGATCTGGGATTTTCACATACAACCATCTCTAGGGTTTACAGAGAATGGTCCGAAAAAGAGAAAAGAGACTACAGGGCACTGGTCTAGTAGTGCGGAAGGGAGCCTGTGGGAGCAAAGGATTGGGTAAGTAATGCTTTTTCCAGAGACCTAGACTTAAAAGGGCATTTAACCCTCACAGTATGAGGGCAACCCCGCTGCAAGACAAGGTTTTTACTGGACCTGTAGTTTTAGTTTCAAAGCTGATAACATTTTCAAAACTGGTTACTTGAAATTGGATGGGGGCATCAATTCAGCAGTACTCCTTTAAAGATGAATTTCAGGGATGGTATTTTACATAGTTACGTAGGTCCAAGCTGGAACAATATTGCTATGTATAAATATACCATGCCTGGAATTCTTCTTTAAACATAGTATTGACAATGCCCTATCATCCCTCAATACTCAATAATTGTTTGGTTAGCACTTCAAGCCACCCGTATGTATGTATGTTCCTCTCAATAATATCGTGTCACCTGTTCTGGCCGTAGGCAATGCCAATTTGGACAAAACTGTGTTAACAGATTAGAAAAATGAAGGAAGATAAGAATATGGTGGTTGGTTCATTTCCAATAATGATTTTGTGTTCTTTCCCATGATCTGGAAGTCAACTTTAAGCATTAATATTATTCAGAATTTAGTGGCAAGCACTTTACAAATTATGGGTAGACCATATAATTACAATTCAAGACAAAAGGGGTTGGGGGGGGCCCTGCTCGTGAAAGCCCATAATCCCTAAAAGGGAAAGTCAAGTGATAAAATAACAGTGTAAGGATGAGTTGTGTGAGAAAGTAAAATTTTCGTGTTAGCTAGAGATGGGATAGGCTTCCCTGAAGAGTTTTCAGGGATTTCCTACAGGCAAACAAAATAGTAAATAGCTTTACAGGTTGGGGTAAGGAATTCCAGAGGATGTTAGAGGTTCTGTAGAAGTCTTGGATACCAACATGGAGGAGGTAGCAAGGTGTTTGTATTATACAGCTTATCAAACCCCAACATAAACCAGCTTGATAAAACCTCATACAACAGAACGTATTTGACTTGTTTCCATGATATATGAAAAGCTTATGAAGAGATGATTGAGTGTTCGGAATGTGTAATATCACAAAGGAAATAACATTTGAAGCTGAAATATCTTTTCTCTTTCCTTAATTCCTGGATTGAATTAATTGGCAACACCCAATGTTTCTTGCAGTAATGAATGTGCTGAGTGTAGGAAGTGGCGGTGTGGAGGTTTAATTAAGAGAGGATTCTAGTGCAATACTTTAGCTTCCTTTCTATGCTGGAACAATATGTAATTGGGATTTTGCTGGCACTGGTTCTGTTTTCATATTGGAATGGAAAATGCATCTGCTACTCAGCTACTGAGAGTCATGAAGTATACCTGTTTCCTACAAGGGATTGTGTGCATGGTGTTCTATATAGAATTATGTTGGCTAGGTACAAAGAGGAATAAATTGGCTTGATTCATAAAGGCCTACTTCACATGAGGGCAATCTTTAGCTCCCATTTGATATAAATAAGTGGCAACGCTACTGTTTTATAGTGTTTTTTTGCCTCTGAATCAACTGTGGGTATAAGATACTGTATAAATAGGTTTCTATTTATTTATTCTATTTATTCATTTTTTTTTTTATAATGGTTGAACTGGATGAATTTGTGTCTTTTTGCAGGTCAACTATGTAACCAGTGGTGAGTTATTTTTTTTCAGGTACCACTTCAGTCCCTGGCCATTTCTAACATTCCTCTTCTGCATGTAAAAATCAGCATTTTTGTCCTAGACAATTACTTAGAACCCCCAAATAATATATATATTTTTAAGCAGAGGCCCTAGAGAATAAAATAGTGGGTGTTAGAAATTTATGTGGCACAGTATTTGTGCAGCAGTTTTTCAAATGCAAATTTTTTTGGAAAAAAAATAACATTTTTAATGCACAAAAGCATTTTGCCGTTTCTGGTTCCTTAGACCATAGAGGTGAATGGGGATGTTCCGGCCCTATGTCATCTCTGTTGTCTGCCAAGTGGGAAAATGCTGGGAAGGTGGCAGTGATTGGGGGGGTTCTTCAGCTGCCTGTAAAAGCGATCCGGGCTGTTAGGATTGCTTTTTCACTAAAACCCGTCGTTGGCTACAAAAAAAACGGATACGGGGATGATGCCTGTAGTGGCAGGCATCATTCTGGTATAACCCCTTCAACCTGGCAACATAGAGGTACATCGTGGTGGCTGAAGTGGCTAAGCTTTGCTAGGCACAGGCAATATCTAAATTTAAGGTGAACATTTATCCTCAAGAGGACAGTGATGGCTATTCACCTGGAGTGTACCATTACACAGAGTTTTGGATATTTTGAACTTTTCACATATTGCAATTACTTTTGATTTGGCACTATTTAGACATTATAGTGCAATGTTTATTTCTCTTTTTGATTCATGGAGTTAATAAATACACTATATTGCCAAAAGTATTGGGACGCCTGCCTTTACACGCACATGATCTTTAATGGCATCCCAGTTTTAGTCCGTAGGGTTCAATATTGAGTTGGCCCACCCTTTGCAGCTATAACAGCTTCAGATCTTCTGGGAAGGCTGTCCACAAGGTTTAGGAGGGTGTCTATGGGAATGTTTGACCATTCTTCCAGAAGCGCATTTGTGAGGTCAGGCACTGATGTTGGACGAGAAGGCCTGGCTCACAGTCTCCACTCTAATTCGTCCCAAAGGTGTTCTATCGGGTTGCGGTCTGGACTCCCTGTGCAGGCCAGTCAAGTTTCTCCACCTCAAACGCGCTCATCCATGTCTTTATGGACCTTGCTTTGTGTACTGGTGCTCAGTCATGGTGGAACAGGAAGGGGTCATCCCCAAACTGTTCCCACAAAGTTGGGAGCATGAAATCCACAATGTCTTGGTATGCTGATACCTTAAGAGTTCCCTTCACTGGAACTATTGGGCCAAGCTCAACTCCTGAAAAACAATCACACACCATGATCCCCCTTCTATCAAACTTTACACTTCTCACAATGCAGTCAAGCAAGTACCGTTCTCCTGGCAACTGCCAAACCCAGACAAGTCCATCGGATTGCCAGACAGAGAAGCATGATTTGTCACTCTAGAGAACACGTCTCCACTGCTCTAGAGTCCAGTGATGGCGTGCTTTACACCACTGCATCTGGCGCTTTGCATTGCACTTGGTGATGTAAGGCTTGGATGCAGCTGCTCGACCATGGAAACCCATTCCATGCAGCTCTGTATGCACTGTTGTGCTAATCTGTGGCCACTTGAAGTTTGGAGATCTTTAGCTATTGACTCTGAAGACAGTTGGCGACTTCTGCGCACTGTGCGCTTCAGCATGCGCTGACCCAGCTCTGTCATTTTATGTGGCCTACTACTTTGTGGCTGGGTAGCTGCTATTCCCAGTTGCTTCCACTTTGTTATAATACCACGAACAGGTGACCATAGAATATTTAGTAGCAAGGAACTTTCACGGATGGACTTATTGCACAGGTGGCAACCTATCACAGTACCACGCTTGAATTCTCTGAGCTTCTGAGAGCGACCCATTCTTTCTCAACTGTTTGCAGAAGCAGTCTGCATGCCTAGGTGCTTGATTTTATACACCTGTGGCTATGGAGGTGATTGAAACACCTGAATCCAGTGATTTGGAGGGCTGGCCCAATACTTTGGGCAATACAGTAATTGTCTTTCAAACTATCGCAGTATTGGAAAATGGCATGGAATGAAGGGATTTTATTTAGGCCAGCACTAGAAATATGACAAGAAGCCTATTGAATGCCATTGCCGACCATGTTCTGAAAATGCTAGCTTTGTGGCTATTAGACTGACGAGCTGACTTCATGACTTTGAGGCACCGACCCTTAACAACTATTTAGTAAGTGAAGTCTGATTGACTGATCTTCATACTTTATCGAGGTCATTTACTATGCAGTAAAGCCAACATTTCATCAGGTCAGTGGTCAGGGTGACAGCTGGTTTAGTTCTCTAATGATTTGCTGTCTTTAACATTTGTTGACTTTATATTCAGAAAGCAATTGGTTAAAGTGAAGTGCAAGATTGCTAAGAGCCAGCTTTAACTTTCCTAGTTTACCCTAGAAAAGTAATTAAGGATGCTCATTGCCAGAAACAGATTGGGGTTATTTACTAATACTTATGGTGTGCAAAATCTGGTGCACCTCTGCAAAGAAACCAATTAGCCTCCATGTTTTATTGTCAAAGCTTAAAGCGACACTTAAAGGTTACAATTGGATAGAAAAATAGTGCAGCGCTTAACAATGACCATAGAAAATACACTCTATTAACCCTTTGAGGACCAAGGGACGTGTTTGTCCCATGTTTATTGCGTGTATCATCTGATTAAGACCTTAAAACTCTTTTTTTATTTGGTTTGAGTCAAAATATTAGTTCTTATCAACAAACAACAAATGGATCTAGCTTTTTGCCAATTATTTCATGAAAAGGCTTAGTTACAGCAACTGAATTGTACGAACGTTAAAAACAAAAAAATTTATTCTTTTGGCGTTCCAAAATCTTACGGATAACACTGTTCAACAGGTAAAAAGTTTTGGGCATAAAATTAGCTAATCTTACATAATTTTGGGGTGCTGAAAACGAAAATGACCCTAAAAAATGTTGATTGGCTCTAGTTTCCATGATATATTCACCCATCTAATGACGTAAGCCATTCAAAATTATGATGCAACTTCAACTGCATATTGCGCAATTGATACTGGTGACCAAAAGAAAATTGCATGTATACTGAGATGATGCAATATTAGCCTTTAATTGCATCACTTCACTGCATAAAAGCTGCAGTATCTGTAGCTGATTGTAATTCGACAGCGTCTTTACATTTCGTTTTATGCTTATATAGGCTACTCAGTAATGCCTCGAACTTGTGTGAATAAAGCAGATAATTTCTGCTATATCTGCGGTGAAATAACTTTTATCTCACAAAAAAGGAGGATAACAGGAATGATTAAGAAAGCCTACAACTTGTATTTCGGCTGCAAGATAGGAGACCAGGACAAGAGCTGGGCACCACATATATGCTGCAATTCTTGTGGGACGGCACTGGAGCAATGGTTGAATGGAAAAAAGGCATCTATGCCTTTCGCTGTGCCAATGATTTGGAGAGAGCCAACAGATCATGTTAGTAATTGTTACTTTTGTATGGTGCCTCCAATTGTAAAAGGGCTAAATAAAAAGAAAACGTTATCTGTGCACTATCCAAATATTCCATCGGCAATACGTCCAGTTCCTCATGGAGAGGGGCTACCAATTCCTAAAGCACCAGAATCCTTCGTGGTTGAGTCAAGTGAGGAAGAACCTGAAGCGTGTGGTCACGTGCAGTTGTAAGAGATAGCCCTTTCCTCGAATACAAGAGAAAAGCCAAGAGAAGCAAAACCGACACAAACTGAAGACAAAACTAGTGAGAATCCTAAGTATTAAAATGATTCAACTTAGCTTATGGCTATAATTTTTCTTGGTAATCCTATGCAATATATTATGCCATTTAGGCTTTGTTATGTAGTCAATATCACTTGCTTTATATTTGTGGAAAGACATCTATCTATATAATTATTGTGCATTATGTAGTCATTACGCCTATAGTAGAAAACTTTCCGTTTACAGAAAAACTAGAGCCAATTGACAAATTTCATTGTTATATTTGAACTCAGAATGTGAAATTCATTAAGAAATGGTTCCTTTTGTTTCCAAAACTGGCAAAAAATAAAAATTTGTTGAACAGTGTAATTGGTGGCACAAGGAGTTAATGGTAACGATAACAGTGCCCCTCTCACTCCCACTTAATAATTCGGTGAGTGTGATAAATAAATAAATCATTAAAAGTTCTCAATCAAATAAGTGACGGTGCCAACAACGCACACAACTTCATGCACAGTGCATAGGTAGAACTCAGGTGATGGTGAGTGACAATCCTCCTCTGGCCAAAATGCCCCCTCACCTTATATTGCAATGACCCACTGGGTCTATGCGTCTTCAAGATCACTAAGTGGGATCTTATCCACATATGCCAGACAAGCTCCTCCAATCCTTACTTGAAGTGGAGATAATGCACTGGACACCTTGGCTCCTGACCACCGCTGGTTATGTCACTCGACAGGATAATAAAGGATAAAAAGACTCTGATAGTGTAGTAGTCTAAATACTCAGTGCTTTAATAAAGATGGAATAGCACTTACATAGGGTGAGCACTAAGGTGCCTCCTTCCAAGATTACAGGCTGGTATCCTCCTCACATGCATGGGTGTACTGCATGGGTGAACTTGCCTCGCTATCAGGTGTACCAAGATGTCGGTAGACCGGAAATGCATCACCGCTCCCCGCAAGCTGCGTTCTCACATATCGACACGTTTCATCACTACACACGTGACTTCCTCAGGACGTTAATTTTGTTTTTTTTTAACAAACATGTCATACCTGCTCTGTGCAGTGGATTTGCACAGTGCAGCCTGGACCCTCCTTTTCTCGGGTCCCCTGCCAGGCTCCTCCTTTCTATCGGGTGCCCCCATAGCAAGCTTGCTATGGGGGCACCCGAGCAGGTGTATTCCCAAGCCTCTGCTCCGTCTGTCTATTCACACAAGGAGCTGTGGCTTGGCCCTGCCCCCTCTCTTCCCTCATTGACTGACTGGCTGTGATTGACAGCAGTGGGAGCCAATGGCTCCCGCTTGCTGTCTCAGCCAATGAGGAGGGAAAGACCCAGGACAGCCAAGGCTGTTGTGCACATCAATGGAACTTGAGGGGGCTGGGGGCACTGCTGCACACAGAAGGTTTTACATGCATAAAGGTAAACAATCTTGAGCCTTTACAACCACTTTAACTGAACCAGCTGAAGTTAGATGCTGAGTTAGATGCTGCACAGCTGCACCAGATTCCACGTTCTCCAGTGTTAGGCTGGCCATACACTATACAATTTATTTTACACTTTTCTGTCCAATTTCTTCCCAGTTTCCCTTAGATTTACCTTCAGCTATGTAGTGCAAGAGCCTGTCTAATTGGATACAACTGAAAGTGTTGTTTAGGTTTGACCTTATATTATATGGTTTTGGTAATTCTAAAGCAAAAATCTCAAGAAATTCGTATAATGTATGGCCAGCCTTAGTAAATCTCACCCATTCATGTCTCGACGCTTTTGGAGAACGTATTCCTCCCGTAGATTGGCACTGAATTGGTGGAAACTGCTTTTTTATGATCTTCTGCTACAAATGTGTTCTATAAAGTTTGTCTTGTTCCTGTTATAGTTTAATATCACTTGGATAATTTAACAGTTTTTTTTTTATAAGTGAGCTAAGTAGGCCATTAATTTAACATTGTGTTTAATGGAACTGAGCTTTTGTATTGTTGATAAACAAGCTTTTATAGACACCAAATCACGTATTACAGTATCTTCATATTCAAGAGCCTTTGTCAACAAACAGGATTAGTTTTCATTGTATGGCTCTTCTAAACCCAGAATATCACAGAGACTGTCAGATCTATATTCCCAAGCCAGAGACCCAGTGCATTAATTAAATTAGAATAGGCAGTCTGTTTCATTAAGTAACCCTTTCCTTGGTTACCATATGATTTCCTTTATAGCCTCTGGAAGCAGTAATCTTCAGAGTAACAAATCAGATGTTGATTTAAGAGATTGTCCACTTTTCAAAGATAATTCTACCCACACTTGATATTTGAATAGGGATGACACGATGTTAAAGCAGTATTAATCCCCAAAAGCAAACATTTATTATATTGCAGCTTACCAATTCTTAGATGTGATGGCTGCATTCATTTTCTTTTTTTTTCTTTAGGTTTTATTTTATTTTTACCTTCTGTTCCAGCCTGTAAGTTTGTTGCTTTTCAACAGAACAAGCTCTTCTGCAAATGTATCAGTTAGAGAGTTGAGAAAACCATTTACCACTGACGGAGGTGCTAACAGTGGTCAGCTTTTATTTATTCACGTAAAAGTCCTCATGCACATGGGACGTTTTTACAGCAGCTGTTTTGACTTCTGGTGTTTTTTCTACAGCCATTAAACTCCAGCATATTATCCTATGTGTTCCATGCACGCATAGGCTTTACTCAATGTTTTTTGGCAGGAGTGTTTTCTGTCTGGGAAAAACCCCCCAGAACTAGTGGGTTTCAAGAGGTTTTTTTAGCTGTACAAATGCTCTAACAGTGATAAAAGCTGAAAAACGCAGCTATCTGTCTTTTATGAGCATTTTTGAGGCTGAAGTTTCTTTTTGGGAGTACAACTTTACTAAAAAATGCAAACGCTGAAAAACGCTAATGCAAAAATGCTCAGAAACATGAAAACACTCCCGTTTTTTTTGCAGCATTCTAAGCTAACGCTACTAGCGTTTTTATAACATCCAGTGTGCATGAGGCCTTATTCCCAAATGTATCCCTATTGCTGTAACTGGTCGTGTAAGTGCAGTGTCAGATAGGTTTGGCTTCAATTTGTTAGTGTAGCTGAATCTG